CTCACTTTGAAACTATGAACCACTCAGGCCGATAGTTCATGGACATCCCCACGGAGATGCTGAGTGCCGCTGATTCCCTCCAACATTGGAGAAGCCTCTCAGCTACCCTGAGTGTTTACTGTGCTGCCTGCAGTGCCTTGATACAGCGTGGGAACCCACTAGTACAGAAGGTAAAGCTAGTCTCCCTGAATACAAAGTATCAAGTGCCTACTGCTAACACAGCCTTGAAGATATGGAATACCTGTGAACTACAAACTGGTTTTCTCTGACTCAAAACCTTTCCTTAGAGAAAAAAGAAGGACACCATGGAAAGGCAAGCTGAGGGAAGTGATATCTATGAGTCATTACATTGCATGTCTCTGTCCCACCTTCCCCCTTTCGCCTTTTCCTAATTTATCCTTCTATCCATTCAAAGTTATGACCCAACAGTAGCCCCCAATCAGTATGTGTCTGAGAAGCAAGTAAATTCCTCCTCTGTGCAATCCAGGCCTGGATTTCCAGCCAGTCTAGCTGACTTTTCAACCTCCGGACAGAAATACCTGAGGCTTTGCCAAGACCTGGACTGCACAGGGCCCCAGCATGGAACTGCTGCCCCTAAGATAGCTCTTCTCCCTACAGAATTCAGCAGGAGCTCCGCCAGGAATCACTGCCTAGCTCCTCCCACTAAGTCCCACTCAAGTGCACAACTGCAGCTACCAAGGCCACTTCAAAATGGAATTTAGAACTTATGGACTCAATTTGACATTTTGGTTTAGCGAGAGGGTTTGTAATTTTTCTATCAACTCAGACCTAATTAACACAGATCCAAGAGGGATCTCCATCATATGTGGAAGGCCAATCCAGGCAGGGGCTGGAAAGTTTGATTATAGGGAGGCAGAAGCCTGGGTACCTATGGGCAGGTGAATGAATAATAAGTAATGAATGGTTTATCTACAGAGTAGAGCATGGTCCAGCCTTAAAAAGAAGGTTCTGGTATATAGCACAGCTGAACCTCGATGACATCATGCTAAAATCAGCAAGGTGCAAAAGCATACGTGTTTGTGAGGTTCATATAAGATGTGCAGATTAGTCAAAGTTATGCAGAAAAAGAGAAGGGCCATGACTGGTGGGAGGAGGCTGCAGAAGTTACAGGCTAATGAGGTCAGAGTTGTGGCTTTGCAAAATGGAGTCTTTGTGATGGAGTCCTGGTAGTGACTGTTGCTCGACACTGTCAGTTTCCTTATTACCACTGAACACCTAAAAATGGTGTAAATGATACTTTTATGTCAAGTCTACTTTGTTAGCTTTTTAAAAATCACAAGAATGACTTTTTGATATGGAGAGCCTTTGCTTTTACTAAAATCATGTCCACGAGAGCTTACCCAGTCCTGGAGACCAGTTCATCTGGATGATCCAGTGCTAAATGACATACATGATGTTTCTAAACGGAAGGACCCTGTTTTAAAGAAACAGTGTCCAGATAGGAATAGTAGTCGAGCACCAAGAATAAATAGAAAGAGGGCCTCTACTTTCTCTGGGTCTTTAAAAGAGTAGTGTGTATCTGTTGGAAGGAAGACATTCCAGTAATGTTCCAACTCCTCAAAGACACTTGTGAGATCCTCATTCATCTTCCTTTCAAAGTGGATACTGAACTCTCCATAGACTATAAATCCATGGTGACCTGGAGCCTAGAACAGCCACAGGAAGAAAACTGGCAGATCCCAACCTTGACGCCTAAAGCTAGCCTCCTGGGCTTGTCCTTCTGGTGGGAGGTGTCCTGGGTACAGCTGTGGAGGAGCACAGGCATCAGATGCAGAGCAGAGCACCAGGGTTTCTCCTTCCAGGAGGCCTGGTCTGTGGGTACATTTCCAAAATGTGTCTTAAGAAATGTAGCCAGAGGAGAGATGGGTTTGCATGGTCACCCCGGGAAATGCCAGAGGACACATTCTCTTTTCGAGGTTTAGGGAAATCCTGTGGTTGGACAAGCCTTTCAGCCTTGGTTTTTCCCACCTGTGAACTGGAAGCAATAACAGCACTTCCTCACCAAGTCACCAAGACAAGTTATCCGAGTTAATACCTCAGTGGTCTTAGGAGTACTGAAAGGCAGGCAGCACATCGCATGGGAGAGTGCAGTTTTCATGTTTTAACTACATATTGAGCAAATGCTAAAACACAAACACATATAAAGTTTAAGGAGCCCTGAAACAATGAAGCCTCAGACTCAGCCGAACGATGAAAACATTCATCTTTTAAATAGCTGATGAGATCTCCCTGACCCTGTTCCCCATCTCCCTCGTAAGGTAGCCCTTACCTTGTCTATAGTTCATGCTTATTTTTGTCAGTTGTCTTATTACCATGTGCCACCCTGTGTCCTAAGTGCTTTATACTAGACACTCCTTCTGATCCTCATGGTTCACCCTGTGGACAGCAGCACCACACGGATACCCGCCCACAGACACAGCTTGGAAGTGACGTGATCAGGCTGTGAACCCAGGCAGTTACCCTCCCGGGTCTGTATTTATGAAATCTAATGTTAGCAGAACCCTGACACAGCCAGGCTGGAAACACGTTTCCTGCTTCAAAGAGCAGTTATTAAACAACCACCATACGCCGGGTTGCTGGGCTGGACAGTCTAAGAAATAACTTTTTCCCTAGCTGGCTACTGGCATTTCCGAGAACATCTGGTTCTTTCAGCACTGTTATCTCTAAACACTGACTTGACATAGGGCTTTGGCTAGGGGCCCTGTAAGATCCTGAGCTGCTTCGAGCATCAGACATTTTACTTCACAACAGTAACTTCCAGGGGTTCTCAGCAGTTGTCTGTCCAGAAGGAACTATGGGAAATTCCAAAGTTTCTTCCCCTACCTCCAGCCTTGGTTTTCTCAGAGGCACACAGGGAGTCCATGTCTGCTGCCAGCAAGCAAGCCAGACTGTAGCTCTGTAGCCGGACCCACCAGGGAAAGCCTCAACTTTAACAGCATGTCACTTCCCTAATTATTCCCTGCGCCTGGAATCCAACACAAACAGAACATCTTTCGGGAGCAGCTCCCACCATGCACCAACCTTAGAGCCTCCCATGAACAGCGAATGCAGGAGGTGCTAAAGGGTCAGGGGGCTGATGTGGCTGCCTGTCCTCAAACCTGTGGGGGAGAGAGAACCCCAGCCTCTCTCTAGTCCAAAGTTCCTAGCCAGCAGAAGCTGCCCCAAGCCCCAGCTGTCTCCAAGTCCCAATTCCTGGGGTGAAAACAGAATGTTATACATGAGACCCTAAGAAAGGCCAAAAGATCAGACAGCAGTGGAGCCTGAGCCATCCAGAGGGAAAGGCAAGGGGCAAAGAACAGAGAATAGACATGTTTCCTTCAGGTTACAAACCCTTTACAGGGTTGACTAAACTCCAGCCCCAGTAGACAGTGGGGATACAGTGAGGGTGATGTTCTCCAGAAGAACAGCAAATGAAACTGACCCCTAGTCTCCAGAAACCCCCGCCCCCTCTCTCTCCCCTGTGCCCCCTCCCACTCTCTCTCCTCTCCCCCTCTCCCACTCCCCCTCACCCTCCCAATCTCTCTCCTGTCTCCCTTTCCCTCTCCCTCTCCCCTCTCCCTTTCCCTCTCCCTCCCGTCCCCCTCCCCTCCTCGCTCTCTCTCTGAGATAGGCAGTAATCAAATGATTGAGATCATTCCAAACGGTGCTGTAAATGGTGCTTGATGAGGTCAGGGAAATGGGTCTGTGAGCTGAGATCGGAATAAGGAGGTAACAAGAGAGAGAAGCAAGGGAAGGGCGGAGGAAGCAGAAGTACGAGACCTGGAAGCCTCGGGTTAAATGCTGACCAAGGGTTTAGGAAACATTTTATGAAGACTTAATGGTCTCAAAATTCTAGTACATAGTAGGGTGAGAGATATTTTCTTAAGATTGTAACGATCAAAGTGCTAAATAGATGTTTCCTCTTGGCTTTAGGCAAGGGTGCAATGGAAATGTATGTGGCTATATGCAGAACTTATATTTATACATCTCATAAGTCTCTTTTCGAAAGCCTTTCATGTCCTGTCTCCTTTCAACTTTTATGATATAGGCTAAAAGCCTGATAGGATCTTTGACTTCCAGTCAGATCTGTATTGTGAGATCGTTCCCTCAGAACTTTAAGAAGATGTCCCTTCTGTGGGGTTGTAATTAAGCCCCCTAGTTCCAAAATTAGAAAAGAAAATGCAAAGTACCTCTAATTGCAACTAGTTACATATGTGCCTGTGGTAAGGAGGTGGGAGTATAGGAAGGGTGGTTACTTGGTTTTTTCAATATGCCTTTTTTTTGTATGATTAGAACTGGAAAGGGGGAGGGGATACATCATGCATAATTGTGCAGTCTCCTCATCTTCAAGGTTTACTTCAATGAATGAGTGCTTAACTGCTGCTTAGATCTCAGTTCTAACATCACTATAATCTACACTCAGTCTAGGCTACAAATAAAGTTGAAAAGTGCACCAGCCTTTTGCAGCCCCTCACTCTGTGAGTCTGCACATGTTGAGTCCCGGTGCAAGTCAGTGGACAAAATTTCTCGAGGATGCTTCAGGCCGCTGGCCATATTTCTCCCTAGGCACTTATTAAAACCAGGTGTGTGGGAGGCGGGCCTTCAGGGACACAAAAGCCTTCATGTTACCCCAAAGCTCCCCCTTCCGGTGTGTTTCCTAGAGGCCATCCCTGAGCTGAGTCTGGGAGAAGCAGACAGCTACTCTGGCTGTGTTATTCGAGGGCAGGACGACAAACAGGGGCGACGATTGAGGCTGCCCGGAGTGGAGGTGGGGGTGACACAAGGGGGAGTGTTCCCTAGTGTGTGCACAGGGCAAGGCCCTAGAGCCACAGCGCTTGCCAGAGCGGAAGACAAAGTGCAGACGGGAAGCCACCGAGCCGAACCTGAACCCCAACCCCAACCCCAGCGGGTCCCGGGCGAGTGGGGGACACGACAGGAGACGACTCCCTAGCTAGTTCACACAATGGCTCTGCAGCGCGGTGGGGGGCTGCAATGCTTACCGTCAGCAGCACCGTGTTGCTCAAGACTCCTGAGGACAGGGGCGGGACCGGGTGAGGTCAGGTTGCAGGTGACGTGGCAGCCTGGGCTGCCTTGCCTTGCCTTCTTCTCAATGGCCGGCTGGGATTCCCAGCAGATTTCTTCTGCTTGGGTCAAAGAGTAAAGTCCTCCTGTGTTTGGTTTTTGTTTTTCCCTAACTTCAGGTTATAAAAGCCCTTTCCCAGGTCTATGTAACCTTCTACCCTGATAGCCCTTGCTTTCTGAAGGAGGCTTATGATTTCCCAGTGTCCTCAGAAAAAAGACAGCAGGGCAATCAAGATTAGAAAGCTCCGTCAAATGTCTGACAAAAGAGTTCACCCGAGGGTCGCCAGGTATCTTCTGGATTTGATGCTCTAACTTCTGAATAAAAGCTGTTCTCGGCCTTTATGCCCCTGTCTAGTGAAAAGTAACCAGAGAGAACTTCAGACTCACAAAACCTTGGCGATCGGGGACAAAACTCAGTCCAAACCAGATTCTCAAGCTGTGGTCCATGGAACACCTAAGGCATTAGGTATCAACCGAGGAGTTCTCAAAATAGGGTCAGAGTCTAAAACCTACCCAAAAGCTGGTGTTCTGAATTAAGACTGAGGAAATTCACATTTCATCACACTTGCTTTGTGAAATTTCACTGTACTTTGAAAAATCACTAGACCTGGCTGGGGATTTGATGTTGTTGAAATAGAACCTATTTTTCTTTGTGGAGTCCTCCCAGAAGCTTCTCAGTGATGTAAAAACATCTTTAAAACAAAACTCATGGAGGGAAACACTGTTAAGTTTGACTCCCAAATTAATGTGCCTCATTTCAAAGAGTCATGCATTCTTTTATACAAAATGATGTCCAAGCAGTACCTCCCACTGTATAATACCCTAAGTGCTTCTTCATGGTTACATAGGTGGATTGTGTGTATACTTTCCACTAATCTTGAGCTGTTTGTCATCCTGAGCCAGACACCCCCTCTCCTGTACATTTTTCCTCTCCTTTCCTCTGGCCTCAGTCATCAGAGCTTTTGTAAGTGTAATGTGGTATGCTTACTCCGGGAATATGTAACTTCCAAACTACACAGAACAATCTGGTGAGCTTTTTAAACTAATCCACAAAGAATTCCAGTATCCCCTGGGTACCTGTACAGAATGCTTGGTTCATGGAACATCTAAGAATTGATGAATTTCTTAAAATTAGTTAAGCAGCAAATATTTTACCATGAATGTTTCACCAAAACAAAGAAACACGCTGGAGGAGAAGGGATTTCACTACCTGTGAGAGCGGAGCACGAGAGAGGCAGCTTAGGGTTGGAAAGGATAAAGCCTAGGTCACTACCAGGCAGAAGGAATGCTTAGGACAATGGTGAGAGGAGATCCCCAGGGCAGCTGTGCAGCAGGGCAACTGAGCAGCCTTCCCAGATGAGTGCAGTGACAGTCTGGGGTAACACAAAAGCAGAGTGGGTTTGCTTTATTGAGAAGCTCTGAAGACAACGGAGAGGGACCATGGAAATAAATGAACAATTGCATACAAATCCAAGCAAGTAACCAGAACCTAAGCATGGTATTCCTGGGCAGTCTTAGAGCTGTGATAGGGAAAGCCGTCTTGGACATCATTAACACCGCACAGCTCAGCAATGATAATGTCATGGTAGTGGAAATGGTAACTACTGATCCAACCAAATTTACAACAGAATTCCACCATGAAGGGACACGGGGCACAGAAAGGGTAATGGGAGTGAATATGCTCAAAATACACTACGTACATGAATGGAAATGTAAGGAAACCTAAAAAATAAGTGATTAATATACACCAGTAAATTTTTAAAAAGAAAGGGGGCTGGCAAAATGGCTCAGCAGACAAGGAAAGGTGTTTGTGCAATTCCAGGAATCCAGGACTGAAGAGAGAGCACCAGCTTCTGCAAACTGCCCTCTACTCTCCACGAATGCACCATGGTGCACGTACACACACACACACACACACACACACTAACTAAAGTGCAATTAAAAGCCTAGAAAAGAAGATAACATAAGCACTGAACACCAAGGTGAGCAGGTGAGACCCATGGCTGAACTTTGTGTCTCTTAACGGAAATTCTTAGACAAAACTCATGGAGGGAAAAGACGTGGATTGGATAGATATATTATTTTAAAATGACAAAAATTTTGAGATTTAAAAGCCAATGCCTCCTGGAAGCAGGAAGTTGAATAGAAAGTTCTGATCCTGTTACCTTCCAGAACAATCTGATTTCTACCATGTGGATGCATGCTCTGGTATTTTATTTTTTTAAAACGTTTTTAAAACATGCTCTTACAACTAACCCCAAAACAATCTACTTCAGTCTCCATTCCTTCAGTCAACTGATTCTCTGCATGACTTACTCTCTTAAGCTCTTACTCTCCACATTCCAGGAGGCAGCTCATTGGCCAACGCTTACATCACTTATCTATAGAAATGCAATTCAAATCGTGCAAAGGAAAACCAAAACTCTTCCAGCTCGTTGAGTGGGGACCGTTTTAGAGCTTACCACAGGACCTTACAACCCAAAAGACATGAGACATTTGGATTTGCAGTCCTGCTTCTAGCTCCTGTCGGTGCATGCCACAGCTGTTGGGAGGTCATCAGGGAGCCCCCAACACAAAGTTCCATCCAAGCAGAAGCTGCGAAGATTAATTCTAATTTGTATAAAATCTATCAGTCAGGGTTCTTCCATGCAAATGACAGATACTCTGCCCAAGCAAGCCAAGCCGATGGTAGAACTTACAGGTGCACCTACCTCAGCCAGCCCATTGATCTAGGTTCAGGCAAAGATTGGTCCTGGGCCTAAAAGAGTCATGGAGTTCTCTCCGTCTGTGACGCCCTACAGTTCTGCTCCTTCTCCCAGCTTTACAACCAAGAGTGGTAATGAGGTAGGTGGGTGCACCACACAGCTATATATCACAGCTCCAAGGGGACATACTGACAGGCCCTTGTGGTCTCAGGTGAGTGGGTACTGTTACTGGTAAGGCTAGAGTCAGCTTCCAGAAAGGGGAAGATGGAGGAGAGACTGCTAGACTGCCAAAAATAATACCTACTACATCCCACTACAATTGTACATACCAAATACACTCCAGAGAGATTTATGAGAGCCCAGGCCAATTGGCAAAGTGAGCGAAATGCCTCATAAATGCTAACGCTCCGTGAAATGTTGGTTGTGAGTCAGTACCAAAAACTAAGTCTGCACAGCCCAGCCTGGCCAAACTGCCGAGGACTCCCGCAGCTCTGCTTCAGTTGCTGAAGTTTTCATTTTCTTCCCGCAGCTTCATTTGTCACCGTTTCCCCAGCTGTTGGCCTCTTTCTTCTAACGGAGTCTGCTTCCAACTGCAGTAAAAACTTGGCTTATGCGAGTTTTCAAAGGAAGTCAGAGAGGAGAGAAAAAAATGGATCAAAGTTGTAATAACTCAGAACTAAACACAGTGTGTGTGTGTGTGTGTGTGTGTGCGTGTTCATGTATGTGTCTCTCTGTGTGTCTATCTGTGTGTCTGTGTCTCTGTGTGTGTGTCTATGTCTGTGTCTCTGTATATGTGTCTCTGTTTCTCTGTGAGTGTGTGTGCATGTGTGTGTGTGTCTGTCTGTGTGTGTGCATGTGTCTGTCTGTCTCTCTGTGTATGTCTGTATCTATGTGTGTGCATGTTTTTGTGCATGTGTGTGCATCTCTGTGAGTGTGTGTGCATGTGTGTTTGTCTCTGTGTGTGTGCTGTATGGGCATCTCCTCTCTCTCTCTCTCTCTGTCTCTGTCTCTGTCTCTGTCTCTCTCTCTCTCTCTCTCTCTCTCTCTCTCTCTCTCTGTCTCTCTGTCTCTGTCTCTCTCTCTCTTTTCCTCTGTGTGTGTGTTTGTGTGTGTATGAGTATACGTGCATATCTGTGTTGTGTGGCTGTCTCTGTGTGTGTTTGTGTATGTATGTGTGCGTGTGTGTGTCTGTCTCTGTGTGTGTGTGCATCTCTCTCTGTGTGTCTGTGTGTGTTTGTGTGTGTGTGAATGTGTATGTATATGTGTGTGCCTCTGTGTGTGTGTGTGTGTGTGTATGTGTGCATGTGATCAGATTGTTCTCGGCATCCTTCACTTGAAGATCACCCTAATCTACTGAGTCATTTTTTTTGGCCTCCCTGTACTGGTCTTCATAAAAGCCAGAGATATTTTGCTGAGATTCACTGCAATTTATTGAGTGATACTGTATTTGTAATGTACTTTGAGAGTAAGTTTAGAGCCCTAAGGATTAGGCAATTAATTAGTAGGGAAATATTTTTCTGCCATCTAGAAAAAAAAACCCTTCTGATTAATTGATGGTCTATTTGGAATTTCTAATTTTTCTAAAGCCTCTTTTAGACATCTGAGTTTTAATTAAGTGGAAAGGCTTCAGCTAGTGCTGAAAATAGGAAGCAGGCTGATTCCCAAGGTTGCTTTTGGTAAGCTTCTCCATGATGTCGACACTTACAGAATACTGCACTGAGCATGTATTTAAAGATAGCGTCGGGGCTTGGGAAGTCGTTCAGTCGGTAAGGTGCTTGCTGCCCAAGCCTGAGGATCTGAGCTCAGATCCCCAAAACCACATAAAGATCTGGATGCTGTGACAGCTGCCTCTAACCCTAGCTCTGGGGATATAGAGACAGGAGGATGCCTGGAGCTTGTTGGGCAGCTAGTTTAGCCAAGTCAATGAGCTCTGGGTTCAGTAAAAGACCATGTCTCCCAAAAAAAAAAAAAAAAGGTGGACAGCAATAGAGAAAAACACATGGCTTCCGGTGCTCCCTAGGGCACCTGCACACACACAAACTCAGACAGGTACATAGCACACACAAATGTAACACAGATTGTGGTTGTTTGGATGTTCCCCACAGGCTTTGGTATTGAACACTTGGTGCCAAGTTGGTGATGCAGTTTGGGGTGACGTAGGAGATGTGGTCTTGCTGAAGGAAGTAGTCACTGGGGGAGGACTATGACATCTTATAGCGCACCCCACTTCCTGTTCTCTCTCCCCTCCCTCTCCTCCCTTCCCTCACGCTCCCCTCCCCTTCCCTCACGCTCCCCTCCCCTTCCCTTGCA